CAATAAATAAAAATTCTCTCAATACTTATTTTTACATTCATAAGATTTTACACCAAAATTAAAATTTTTTTACTTAAACCAAGAAGTTCGTTAGTGCTTTTTAGACTTTTTGTCAATCAAGTGTTGGAAATTTGCACGGTGGAAATACAAGTAAAAAAATATCCTTTGGTCAATATTTTGACCAATTGCTCAATGGGATTCCTTTATTCCTTACATCTCACCTCTAACTCCGGTAGAAAATGATTATACACTCAATTACACACACGGTAATGAAAATGAATAATTTTGATTATGATTAAAGATACAATATTTTAATATTTTTCTGACAATTCAACAGTTCATCCTTGTTGTTAACACGACTTTGAAGAATCTTTTTTCTATAAATACGTTCTCCTCCTCCAGCTCTTAAAAGCTCTGTTTTCCCTTAGTCTATACCCCCGTCCTTCAATTTATTCACTCTCTTCTTCTGATTCTAAAATCATCTTCTCTCCCCTTGTTTAATTGTTTCAGAAAGAGGGAAAATGCCGGCCGTCGGAATTGTCCCTGTAGGGGGTGGCACTGAGTACCCCGGAAAACTTACTCTCTATGTCCTCATAACATGTATGGTTGCTGGCATGGGTGGTTTAATTTTCGGCTATGATATTGGAATTTCAGGTATTTCTCTATACAGAGCCAATTATGTTAATATATCCTTGATATTGAGTTTTTGCTCTGTTTTTCTAACGGGAAATGGTTCCGGCAGGTGGGGTTACGACGATGCCGTCGTTTCTAAAGAAGTTTTTCCTGTCGATCTACGAGAAACAGCAGAACGACAACTCGAAGAACCAGTATTGTAAGTACAACAGTGAGACACTGACTCTGTTCACGTCGTCTCTGTATTTGGCGGCGCTTCTTGCGTCCCTGGTGGCCTCCACCGTGACCCGTAAATTCGGGAGAAAACTCTCCATGCTCTTCGGCGGTTTGCTCTTCTTTGCCGGTGCTCTAATCAACGGCTTCGCCAAAGCCGTCTGGATGCTGATCGTTGGCAGAATTCTTTTGGGTTTCGGCGTTGGATTCGCAAATCAGGTAATCCATCCTATGTTGTGTGGACATCTTTTTGTTGATTGGATCAAGGTATTTGGAGTTCTTGTTTTGTCTTTGCTCAAGACACAAAGAAATGTAATGTCTGAAAACAGCAACAAAATTTCTTTTACTTTTTTTTTTTAAAATTCTTGGTTTTGTGTTTTGGTTTCACTTTTTAGTACTAATCTCTTCTGTTTTCTTGTCCCCTTCGAAATACAAATTCTTCGGATCTGCTTCTTTATCTTTTTTGTGAGGATAAAGTATGTTTGGTTCAAGAAGAAAAAAGAGGAAGAAACAAAAATTTGTACATTCAGTTACAAAAAAGTCTAAAAAGAAGAGAGCAGACTCATTTATTTAATTTTTTTACTTTAATTTCTCTACTTGAGGAGGGGTTTTCCATACCCCTCTCCTTTATTTTTTATAAGCTAAATATATTGTCAAAGATCAGACAAATTTTCTATGAAAAATTACAAAAAAATAAAAAATAATGTTTTCAAAAACTGTTCTGATCCCAAAATGAGTTTCTCTCAGGTTATCTACATTTGTAGTCAGCTGCGAGATCAGACAACGGAGAAGAACCATTTTCTGGGTAACCAAACAAGTGCGTGAGGGGTTAAAAGTAATAGGAAAACAAAGTTTTTGTTTTTATTTTACTATTTAATTTGTGGGTCAGAGTCAGAAATTACGTTTTTTCTTGGCGTGACATCATTTTTCACCGATTTCCTGCAACTCTTTTTCGAGTTGATGCAACGGCTTTGAATAGGAAATTGGAATATGACAACGGTTCTTTGTTTTTTTTTATCATCATCAGCGCGACTTTTTTCTTTCTTTTTTTAACAGCTATCATCAACATGATAATATGTGGAAGAAAAAGAATTGTTTTTTATCCCCAAGAAGCATTGACAATTATACGTACAGATCCGCAGCCAGGAAGAGTTTTAATTACGAAAATCATTTAAAATATATTATGATATAATTAATTTAATTTATTTATAATATTATATATATTTATTTAATAAAACGTTATAATTATAGTTATAACATTATTGGTTTAGTTATCTTATTAAAAAAATAAGATTTTAATTTGTTCTTATTTATGTGATTGTTACAGTCTGTGCCACTATACCTTTCTGAGATGGCCCCCTACAAATACAGAGGGTCTCTGAACATTGGTTTCCAATTGTCCATCACAATCGGAATCCTAGTTGCCAATGTGCTGAATTATTTCTTTGCAAAGATCAAAGGCGGCTGGGGATGGCGGCTGAGCTTGGGAGGTGCAATGGTGCCTGCCCTTATCATCACCGTGGGATCTCTAGTCCTCCCGGACACACCAAACTCCATGATTGAACGTGGTCAAACAACTGAGGCCAAAGAGAAACTCAGAAAAATTCGTGGTGTAGACAATGTTGATCAGGAGTTCAATGATCTTGTTGCGGCTAGCAAATCATCAAAGCTTGTGGAACATCCTTGGACAAATTTACTCCAAAGGAAGTATAGGCCTCATCTTACCATGGCCATCCTAATCCCATTCTTTCAACAACTAACCGGGATTAACGTCATCATGTTTTACGCTCCTGTTTTGTTCAATACAATTGGGTTTAAGAACGATGCTTCGCTCATGTCTGCTGTGATCACTGGTGTTGTTAACGTTGCGGCGACCTTGGTCTCCATTTATGGTGTTGATAAGTGGGGAAGAAGGTTCCTTTTCCTTGAGGGTGGAGCTCAAATGCTAATCTGCCAGGTACCTAATTAGATTTGTTTGTTCTTTTGAGTGTGTAAAATTCAATGCTTGTGCTACTTATTTAACTAACTTGACTGTGTTTGATTATCAGGCTATTGTGGCTGCTTGCATTGGAGCTAAATTTGGAACTGATGGAGACCCTGGAAATTTGCCCAAGTGGTATGCCATTGTTGTGGTGCTTTTCATCTGCATTTATGTTGCCGGATTTGCCTGGTCTTGGGGACCTCTAGGATGGTTGGTGCCTAGTGAAATTTTCCCGTTGGAAATCCGGTCAGCAGCTCAGAGTATCAATGTTTCCGTTAACATGCTTTTCACATTTGTGGTTGCTCAAATTTTCTTGCAAATGCTGTGCCATCTGAAGTTTGGTCTGTTCCTCTTCTTCGCATTCTTTGTGTTGATGATGTCCATCTTCGTATACTTCTTCCTCCCGGAGACAAAGAACATCCCAATTGAAGAGGTGGCTCTAGTATGGAAGTCACATTGGTACTGGTCACGATTCGTCCAAGACCTTGAAGTCCCTAATGGAGGCTTAGAAATGGGCAGAGGAAATATAAAGACTTTCTGATCCATTGTTGGTTCTCTTGTTTTCCCCTGTTTTTGGATTGTTTGCTTTTGGTATTAGTCTATAATAATACCCTAACGCACAAGTTCTCTATGGTTTGCTAGTTTGCTCTACCAAAATTTCTGTACAAAAAAAAAAAAAAAATGGAATTGCCCATGACTGAGTGAAACTAATTCAACAGGCCAATTGATTTACTATGTTATGACAATGACATTGTGATAATTCAATTACTTTACGTTTGAGTGGAATCAATGGAAATTTCAACTGTGATATAATTCAATTCCACTTCATAAAAAAAGGGGAAAAAGGAAATGGTAGGTAAATGACATTGGGTATCATATTCCGTGTTCTTATTTTAGTGTCGGCCCCATGTATCATGTATCTTTTTCTTTCTGCAGCAGACTCAAGTTTCTACTCGCAAAGCAGACTCAAGTTTCCTGTTTCTATGCCTAAAGGAAGCGGCCGGGGAGGCTACCTGCACTCTTTCTCCTTTACGAAACCATAAAGCTTCAAGCCCACGTTCGTTGTCTCTTCAATTTAGCAGAATTTCACTCAAGCAGGGGGGGCGCAGCTTCATTAGATTGGGCCATTAGATATCACCAGTCAGTAGTCACTAGACTCACAACCTTATTAATAGATCTCCTCACTCTAATACAGCCCAAAGAGGAGCTTCATTGGATTGGGCGATTGAGGCTCATTGCTTCTTTAATGGGATTTGGGATAACTCCGAAAAACAAAAAAAAGAAGGGGAAAACCCTACATTAAGCCCCTAAACTTACTCCAAATTCTTGATTAAACCCTTTTAACTTTTGTTAAAGCAAATAAACTTTTAAATTTGATAATATGAACAATTTAACCCTTTTTTTTACAATTAACTTAAGGCCCATTTGGTATAGCGATTTTGGGATAATGGTTAGTGGTTTTACTTAAACTGCTAAATATAGGTGTTTAATAAATTTATATATTTTGAAACCGCTATAAATAAAGTATTTGGTAAAATTTTTATTTAGCGGTTTAAGACTAGCGGATAGTGGTTAGAGTCCAAACCGTTAACGGATTGAAAAAGCTAATTTATACCAAACCGTTAGCGGATTAAAATTTTTTAATTTTATTGACAAATTTATCTATTTTGATTTTTTAATTTTTGATCACATTTTTTAATTAATAATTATTTAATAAATTTCAATTTCATTTTTTTACCTTTGACAACATTAAGTGATTATAATATTTTTTTTGTACATTAATTTATAATTAAAAAATATATTATCTTAAAAAACAAAATTTGTTAATTAAAAAAACTGATTAGTTTTTTATTTAAAAATAATATAATTTTTTCTTTTTTAAAAATAAAAATGAGGGTATAATTACATTATTATAATTAATTTTATTTATTTATTATTATTATTTTTATAAAATTAATAATTTTAATAATGAAAAATAAAAATATTTTAAAAAATATACTTATTTGTTTTTAAACATGTTCTTATTAATCATTTAATGTTAAACAATAACCGTTAATTATTGTATATTTAAACAGTTATATTTATCGAATTCGTTATTTACCATCCACTATCCACTATCCATTTTCTGCTATCCGCTATCTGCTAACCGCCACCCGCTATCCGTTACCGCTATTCGCTATCTGTTACCTGCTATCTGCTATCCGCTGAATTTTAACAACTATACCAAACAGGTTCTCAATGCCTATTTGTAATTCGTTTGCCTAGATAAGATATTGACATGTCATTGCTCATGTGACAAGTATTTATTTTATTTATATAAATAAAGTATAAACGAGGATTATTAAATTTATCATATAGAAAAATAGTCAAATTAACTAAATCTTAAAATTTAAAAATTTATTTATTTCAATAAAAATCTAAGGGCTTAATCAAGAGTTTGAATTAAGTTTGAAGACTTAACATAAGATTTTGACCAAAAAAAGTGATTTTTTCTGGAATTGTATTAGTTATTACGATTGGATTGATTAACAAATAAGTTAAAATATTCAAATACCTAGTAATTAATTAGGTCCACGTATTTTCTTAAAATTCAATATGGAAACAAAACGATTAAAATGACAACAAAGATCAAAGCGTCAATCGTTAAAAATGCAATATTTCAGAGCATAGAAATGTAAAATAGGCATTTTAATAATTAACTGAAACGTTAGGAAAAGAAAAAGAGCAGCAGTACACAGGGGCACTTGCCCGCTGCCCTCTACAACCAACACTATACTTTTTATTGGGTCAGGTGGCTTTGCTTTTAGAGATGCGAACGTCTTTTTCAACCAATTGCCTTTCATCGCATTGGAAGGAAAGTGGCGTGACCCAATGATAATGGAGGTGTTGGTTGGAGAGTGCCAGGGGCATTGAGTGCAGGAGGCAAGTGCCCTAGCACCTAGCACTGCTCAAAGAAGAAGAAAGAAAGTAGTTTACCTAAAATATCGGATAATCAATATATACCTAAATGACATTCTCCTGTTGTGGTCCATTGGTGACCACTGCAGTCCAAAAGAGCTGTCGGTGGAATGCATCCCAATCAATGGTCGAATCTTGCCTAAGGTACTAACTTCTAACTCTTAACTTCTAACTCTTAACTCCTAACTATTGTCCTTGTCAAAAAAAAAAAAAAAAAACCCTAAATGTAGTCATGCGCATCAAAATATCAGTTTACATTAACGGCTTTGATACTATTTCAATGTTTTACATTTAATTTCTAGTTCATCTTTAGTAGTTGGTTTTTTGGCCACTTAAAAAGGAGGAATGAAACATCTATTGTCAAATAAAAACTCCTAAAGTTTAGAGAAATATGTTCTAGGTTGCCTAAGAAATGTTCTGATGGGTAAGACTTTAAAGAGGCATTTACACGTAAAATAGCAATCCCCTTTCTCTATTAACTTCCATCCAATGAAGGTGGAAAAAAAATCTCAACAGAATGGTTTAATGGCTAAGAATTTAATATTTCAAGTTAAAAATCTTATGTTCAAACCTTGAATCGCGTAGAGAGAGATTTGAGAATGAAAGAGAACTATCTCTTCTTTTTTTTGGATAAAAGGTGAATTTTATTTATCCAGTAACTGTATATACACAAGCAAGCAGCAATTTGTTGCTGCTACAAAATAAAATGCAGAAACTATTTAATCTCTACTATCCTTGCACAACAGCTTCAATCCCCCAATTAATTGCTACGGATACAGGTAGAGATGATGATTTCAACTTGGCAAAACCTAAAATCCTGTGTTTCACATCAAATTGCACTTCTTCACATACTACCTCTTCTGTTCTAAAGAGTTGCTGATGGATTCTATTGTTCCTTTCCATCCAAACATGGTAGATTGCAGCACTCCATATTAACTTGATAAGTGTCCAATACAAGGATTTCCTTCGTATCCGCTTTCCCATCCACATTAAAAGCCTTTGCCAAGAATCCATAAATGGAATACCTGCCAAATTGCTCAAAACTTGCCAGACCCTTCTTGCGTAATAGCACTTGAAGAAGAGATGTTCAGTAGTCTCTGATTCATTGTTGCACAGTACACAAGTGTCAGTCAAAGTCGGAGACCATTTCTTTTGCCTGGCTCTTGTTGTTAATCTATCCAGCATAGCCAACCAGCAAATGAAACTATGTTTAGGGATTGATTGAGGGAACCAAACTAATTTGTGCCATGGTACTCTAGCTTGCTTATTTCTTATCCAATGCCATGTTTTTCCTGCTTTGAAAGAACTAGAAGCTGAGGGAATCCACACCATACTATCCTTTTCACCCTCTTTAGGATATAATCTACCACATAGCGCTATTTGAATATCTAGGAGCTGAGGGGAGCGTGCAGGTGGCCATTTCCAATAATTTCCATTAACCACCACAGCAAGCTTGGCATGGGATGGAATGCCTGCATCTTGAATAATCTTTGTACCATAAGTTTCTACCAGTGGACCAGAAGGATGCCAATTATCATGCCACAAATGAGTCTCAGTGCCATCTCCCGGGATATGTTGGATGAGCCCTCTAGCCCGTTGCCTGAGCTTGAGTAGTTTCCTCCAACCCCATGATGCATTTGAGGGAATTTTTACAGCCCAGAAACTTCTTCCTTTTAACAAATATTCATAAACCCAAGCAACCCAGATGGAACCAGACTTTGAAAAGAGCATCCAAATGAAGCGCATTATACAAGCTATATTCCAATGCAACAAATTCCGCAAGCCCAAACCACCCTCTTGTTTTGGGTGGCATAAGGACAACCAACTAACTTTTGCTCCCCTAGCGGATTCTGTTGAGTTCTTCCATAGAAATGCAGCACATATTCTTTCCACCTCCCTGATAACTTTCTTTGGCAGAATAAAAGTAGAGCACCAAAAGGTGGTAATTCCTTGTATAACTGCAGTGATGAGTTGCAATCTACCAGCAAAAGAAAGGTGCTTAGCACTCCAGGAGTTCATCCTGTCTGTTATCTTAGAAATCAGGGGCTTCAATTCTTTTTCAGACAGCTTTCCTGTTATTAATGGTACTCCAAGGTACCTAACTGGCAAAACACCAGCCTTGAAACCAAAATCCTCCTTGAGTTTTTTAATTTCATCATTAGCAAGGCCACAACAAAATATTTCTGATTTAGCGTAGTTAACCTTTAAACCAGAAATTGTGTAAAACTGCATAAGAACAGCATCAATAGCAGTCAAAGAGGCTGAACTCCCATTTGTAAAAATGATTAGATCATCAGCAAAGCAGAGATGTGTGAGCTGAACCTTGGCACACTTAGGATGATAAGCAATTTTCCCTTCTAGAGCAGCCTTGTTCAGTAGTCTAGAAAGTATTTCCATGCAAACTACAAATATATAAGGGGATAGAGGGTCCCCTTGTCTAATACCTTTTCTACCCGGGAAATATCCTGCTAGATTGCCATTGAATACCACAGAGAACATAGGCGTTGCAACACAAGCCTTCAGCCAATTAACAAATTGGGTAGGGAAACCAAGGGCAAGAAATGTTTGGAAAACAAAGTCCCAGCATACAGAATCAAAAGCCTTCATGAGATCAATTTTGAGTGCACATCTAGGACTCAAGCCAACCTTATGATAATTTTTTACTAGCTCCTGTGCCAGCAAAACATTCTCCACCATCAATCGCCCCTCAATAAAGGCACATTGATTCTTACTAATAAAGAGGGGCAAACACTTTTTGAGCCTATTAGCAAGAAGCTTAGCTATAAATTTGTAGATCAAATTACAGCAAGAGATAGGTCTAAATTCAGTCATCTTAGACAGGTTTGGAACTTTTGGCACCAAAGAAATAAGGGTGGAATTTATCTCCTTGAGTATCTTACCAGATATGAAGAATTCCTGAATTGCCTTGGTAACCAAATCCCCTACCACAGGCCTTGCTGCTTTATAGAATTCTGATGTGTAGCCATCTAGTCCAGGTGATTTATTACTCAGGCTATTGAAAACCACATTCTTGATTTCTAAATCAATGACAAGTTGTGTAAGAAAGGCCTTCATATTCTCTAGCAATTGAAATTGAACTAAATCTTTAAGCCAGCCTTTATCAACATTAGTACAGCAACTATCCACGGTCCCTAAAAGCCCTTTGTAGAACTCAACAGCTTCTTGTTCCATGTCAGGGAGTGTTGTAATTCGCTTGTTATCAGAAGTGAGTAACTCCTTAATTGTATTTCTGCTTGTCCTAGCCTTTACCACTTTGTAGAAATAAGTAGTATTCCCATCTTCTTCTTGTAGCCATTTGATTCTAGATTTTTGCCTGAAGAAGGATTCCTCAACCAATTGCAAAGCAGCCACTTTTTGAGCTTGTTCTTGTTCAACATGAACCAAATCACCATTTGGGTTTTGCAATAAATCTACTTGTATAATATGCAATTTATCCTTCTCATGCTGTATTCTGCATTGCAAATCATTGTAGTGCTCCTTGTTCAATTGCCTAAGAACAAATTTTAAGGCCTTTAGTTTTTTACACAACTGAAACATATAACAACCATGCACCTGATTAGATTCCTAGACCTGTTTTACCATGGCAAGAAAATTTTCATGCTTTGCCCAAAAATTGAAGAACTTAAAGGGTTTCCTACCCTTATTTTCCACAGGCAAGTGAATTTCCACAGATCCTGCACAATGGTCAGAGAAACCAGGAGGAAGAAAAGCTGCTGTGGTGTTTGGGAAAGCATTCAACCAGAATTCATTCACCAATAATCTATCAAGCTTCTTTGCAGTGGGGCCTATGCACCTCTTATTTGACCAAGCAAAGAAAGAGCTTGTAGATAACAAATCATGTAGTTCAGCCTCATTAAGCTTTTCATGAAACATCTCAGATTCCTTAGGAAGACAAGGGAGGGATTGCCAATCTGATTGTTCACAAAAAAATCTAATTTCATTAAAATCTCCCCTAACCAGCCAAGGCACTGCAGGTAATGCTTGGCTCAAAGCTACCATTTCACTCCACATCTCTTGCCTCAAACCATCAAAGTAGGGATTGATGGATGTGTTGAGGACATGACAATGAATAGCCTGGTGATGCATGCTAGAAATAGTAATTTGAATATATGGCTTATGGAATATCCAGATCCTTCCTAATCTAGCATGCTCATAGTTATTAAGAGTAGACCAGCCAGGTAACAAGAAATTAGAAACCTTGAGAAAGTTCTGCTGTTGCACATGGGTTTCTAACAAACAAACTATATCAGCATTATGTTGAGCTAAGTAACTCTTGAGACTCCTTTGTTTGCTAGGCATATTAATGCCTCTCACATTCCATATAATGATCTTCATTTAAATTGGGAAGAAGATACCTCACTGGAGGAATTTGAACTTTTCCTGGACTGTCTTTGTTTAGGGACTAATGCTTTAGTAGCTATAGCAACACCTTTGGAGGCCATCCTTGTTTTTCTCACCTCATGAATAGTTGCAGCTTCAGTTTCAACTGCATTGTCTAATATAGCAAAGGAATTGCCAACCAAGAGGCTAGGTGAAGGCTCAGGTTGAACAACTTGAATATCCTTGGCAGGTTGAACCACTGGTATTTCAGATACAACTAGTATTTCTGGCATAAACTGCTCTATTTTCTTGCCTTTCGAGACTGCCCTCCATTCCTGCTTAAGAGCAGGTTTAGTTGGATGCTGAGAACAATCACGACTAGTATGCCCCTCCTTTTTACAAATTTCACACTTAACAGGAAGCCAGGGGTACTCAAACAAGACACTCACTTCTGATTGATCATCAAGAACAGGTGCAGATTCAGGGAGCATATGGGTTTTATCAATGTCAACCTCAACACAAACCTGAGCATAATTGATATGGGTACGCTGCTCCGTAGCCTTGTCAAGAGACAGAAGTTTCCCAATGGCACTAGCAATATAGCTTAGGCCTGTAGGAGTGTAAAGAGACATAGGCACTCCCCACATCTTAACCCAAATTGGCACCTTCGTAATCTTCATTCCAGACAATTGAATATTGGGCTCCCATTGTCGCAAATACAGGATTTTATGATTAACATGCCATGGAACCCTGGAATTCAAGATCCAGTTCCTAGTTACAGAATCAGGGATCTAAAACAAGAAAGTACCATTGCCCATTCCAGTTATTGAAATCTTTCCTTTCTTGCCCCAGAGTTTGTTGACGGTATGCACTATATCACCATAATTCGGCGAGGACCCTCCCAGAAAACACCCAATTAGACAAGTTTCCCAAGATTTAATGCCTTCCTTGTAAACAGAATTAGGGGGTTTCACAATTAACTTGCCATCTCTCAATTCAGGGGGAAAATAGGAAAGAGATGCTTTACCCAAATCACTGGCTGTAGAGCTTTCCTTCAAATCATTGGCAACAGCATCTGCCCAAGAAACTCTGGTTTGGATGACTGGAGCTACCACGAAATCTGTTGCAGGTGTTCTTGCCAGAGTTGGGTTAGCCAACGACAAGGCCTCTGTGATACTTCGAACTTCAACTTGCAACTTATCTCGCAAACTTTGAGAAGACTCCGACGGAACAACAGAACGAGGAGCAAACCCAGTGTCTGCCGACGACTTAGAACCGGCAATCAGGAGCGAATTCCGGTGGGAACACGCCATGAAAGACTAGGGATTTTGACTGTAACTGTTTTCTCTCTCTTAGACCGTTATCACCCTAGGAGAGAGAATCTATGCAACATCATATGAAAAATCCGAACTATCTCTTCTTATATATCTCTTTTTATATAACTCATAATCAAATGTATTAAAAAAAAAGCAGAAAAAGAACAATGTAATGAATTATAAATATCACGAAGACAAGTTATATATAATTGTTTCTCAGGGGTTGACGCAAAATCCAAACTATCTACAAGCAGGTGGTAACTAGCTGGATTTGAAGTCTCCAATTACACAGAGTTCGGCTCACTTTTTTACAACAAAAGAGGGCTTTTCTACGGCATTCATTCAACAAATATACTCAAAACATCCTTCACGTAACAGGCAATGATTTTAGCGGTATGGTCAAGAAAGGATTGTGTAACCTTTAAATGATATGATAAAGCAAGCTGAAGAATGCAACTCTACACAGAATCCACTCCTTCAACCTGCTGTCGAGCAAGGTATCTTTCCCTTCGTTCTTTCTGCAAACCAAAGACAGTAAAGAAGCATGATATGTACTAAATAAGTAGATGTACAGCAAGAAAATTCATAAAGAGGTTTGTTTACAAGGAAACTCACCCATTCATCAATGACTAGTCCTTCTCCAATAATCCTTGGACCAGTATCCTCTGGAGGCTTTTTGCGGGCCTCAACTGCAGCATCAGCCTCTGCCAATTGGCGCTTCAGTTTTTCCAAAGCCTACATAAATACAATGAGGCTAGACCCCATAAGCAATTATCCAGAAGTGTGTGTTGTTTTTCTCTTCTTTTGTTCAATTATTTCTTTGTGGTGAGTAGACTAGATTTATATTTTATGAAATGAAAAGAGCACATATACAAATATAAACTTGCTTACAAATGATATTTACTTACTGGAGAAGGACGCTCAGGATGAAGAAAAACAACCCGCAATATTTGCTCTATGGCAACTTGATCCTTCTGCTCATCAAACTGCATAAAACAAGCAGCAAAGAGTTAGAGTAATAAGTAAAAAGGTTATGGCCATCAACCTAATAAAAAATATTCCACACAGGCAAAGGAAGGAAGCAATAGGATAGGTGTTGAATATTCTCAACCATTCATTGACTAAAAGTAGACAGACAAATCAAAATATGATTCTGAGATCATGCACACCCCAACAGATGGACCCAACTTCGGCTTTGCCTACCAACAAGATGTCCATCCAATCCAAAAAGTATGGAGAGTGGATGCACATCACCACCAAAACCAAAACTTGGATTGCAGCACCGCAGCACATTTTGATGAAAAAGGATAAATATTTGGTCACAAAATTAAGTCTGTTCCTTACCTCCTTTCTGTTTCATAAAGCAGATACAATCCAGAAATGAAGAATTTTAGAGGTAGAAAGATGTCTTATAATGACTTTTGCAGCTTCTGAACAGCAAAATCCATCAGAAATTTTTTGATAATGAAATTTTACTGCTACAAAATGCAGATATCTAATCTCCCCCTAAAGAGCCTTTTTTATTTTCCAAGAAATTAAAACTGCCAACCAATCCACATAAAATCAAATAAAAAATTCAACAATTGAATATGATTGTAAGCTTCATTTACGAACCAAAATTTGCATGTGGTCACACACAAAAGAAATTGTTTTCCTGTAAAGATTAAAAAAACAAACACACACACACACACACATGCATGCTCACTAACATATAATCAAACAAAAGCATAGTTGGGAGGAGTTCAACGCACCAGCTCTGGCACATAGTCCATTGCACCTTTCACTTTCAAACTCATGATCTTAAACTTAACCTTGCTCTTCTGCTCCATTGGCTTTTCATTGTTCTCAGGAGGCTCAACAAACTTGAACACTATTAAAAAAGCATTCAGGTCCAGATAGACAATTGATTCATGAGAGTTGACTAGGAAGACAATGAAGGATAATTGAACAATACGTAATCTGAAATGCAGTCTGTTTTGAGCCAGAGCATATAATGTGATCAACATGCAAAAGAAATATTACCAGTTGCTACGAGGCTCTCACCAGGAGCCAGAATTGCACCAGGAGGACGCATAAAACAGCTCTTTGGTGCAGTTGTTTGAAACTGAACCAAGAAAAATATCAGATTAAAAGACTCATAGAAGTAATTGTCCTAATAATAGGCACCAGACTCACCACCATTTCCATCTGTGACTTTCAATTATAGCATAATGAACATGGAAAAAGATAAAACTGAAATGTGTGAATAGCAAATGAAAATTTCTGAAGTTAAGGGGTACCTTGAATGCTACAAACGACTTGCTTGTGTTTTTAATTCTGATAGCACTCCTGACTTGTTTGCCAGGTTCATCTTCAAAAAGGAGTAAAAAATAAAATAAAATAAAATAATCAAGAACAAGCAAATCAGGACCGGTCATATAATTTAAAGAGATAGAAGCAACCAATTAGGGACCAATGTCATAATGATGTTCTTTCTTAGTCCACAAAAACTTTCATGCATTATTTTTGAAAACCATCAAACACAAATTTCTAGATTTCATGCTGCAGGCTATTCTGGCAAAAAAATTTGTAGCAACACTTCATGATTGCCAAATGGCTGATTACTTTCTTGTGATTCTGAATTCTATTCTTGACAATACGCTAGTTTACATTGTTCTATGGCCAAAGAGGCTACCAATCAAGCTCAATTCCAAGCTACAATACGCTAGGATTCTAAATTCTATTCTCTGAATTGCAAGAGCCTTCTAAACACGAAAGCTAGAAATTATTAGATGTAAAACCTAAAGTTTTAGCAACAAATTTGATACTTAGAAATCTCAATTTCTAAAAATTTCTCTTCAATCTTCATCACAATCTAGTTTCAGATGAAAGTTCGAATTCAATTTCCTTCAATCCAAGAATCGTAACGAATGCCACGAACAAATCAGATCATAGATCGTATTCTGCAAGGTGAAAGCTCCAAACAATTCAAAAACAAGAGCAGAATGAAACGCTTACAAGGAAAGTAAAGCTTGTTCGTCGGATCAAGCTTGAGCCGACGCCTAGTAGGCAGCAACGACTTAGCAACTGAGGAAACCGAATTACTGGAACCATGGTGGTTTGATCCTTCAACTTGATGCTGACTTAGACCGTGTTGATGCGACGCCGAGGAAGACGACATAGCGCCGTTATTAGCGTTTCCAGAGTGTCGAAAAGGAAGCTTAAAAAGTCCCCAGACCTTGCCATCGGACGCTGACTTCTCCTCAGCTATTGCCATCTCCGGTGCGAACACGGCGTTGCGTCAACGAATCCTCCCACCGTGTTTATTCAGCTGAGTTAAAATGAGTATTTTCTAGGAATGGAGGAGAGAGTGACTCGAGACTCTCGTGGGAGACCGGATTTCAAGGTAAGATTCAATTGGATTTTAATTACCGGATTTAAAATCCGTGAGCCCATCTTATCTCAGTAGGTCCTTTTTCCCTTGATAAGCGGGGTCATTTGGGTGTGGGGTGTCGGTAGCATGGGCGCTGATTAGCCGGCGCTAGAAATCTCGAGATAATTAGCTGTGATCTGTAGTTCAGTTTAGTATATTTGAAGGCAAAATTATTGCAACCAATAAAAATGTTTAAAGGCCATTAAAATCTTAAAATATTATTTTTAAAAATAATATTTTTATGTTTTTTTTTTTTCTGGTATCGGGTTTCGCCCCGATTAATCCGGACCGACTCGATTGGCGCACCCAATGAACGAAGACTGCTGTGTACACAAAGTCTCGAACTCAATATCTTACTTAAGCTGAAACAAGCCGCAAACCAATTGATCCAACCCCTCGTTGGTATAATATTTTTATGTTAACGATTTAAATAATTTAATAATAATATATTTTTATTGAAAATAAAATATCATAAATTTGAATCGCATAACATGCAAGTGAGGTGAAATGAGAGATAAGAGATGAGAGATGAGAGATGAGAGATGATTGCGTCTCGTTGTGCAATCAATATTAAAATAATAATATTTTTATTTTATTTAATTAATAAAAAATTAAAATTTAGTAAGCAATAAATAAAAATTATTTAATACATAAATATATTTAGGC